ATAATAATAATTGATGATATTAATAATGATAATTATACAATTTAATGATAATGAATTTTGCTCATCGAATAGTGTGTTTTGTTTAAGAAAATTAAATTAATTATGTTTAAGATAAGCAAAAAATTTAAATCACGATGAATATGTAAAATTAACAAATTTTTATTTAGATAATTTGAATGAGAATTAATTAAATTAAAATTTCATCCTTCTTTCTCACATTTTTCTCTTTTCTCTCTTTAATAGATAAATTTAAATAAGCTATAAGTTTGAGAAAGATTTTTGACTTAAGTGATAAATGAGATGAAATATAAATGTATGATAAATATGAAATGTTATGAAATGATATGAAATGATAAATATGATATGAAATGATATGAAACGAATATGAAATGAACATTTCATATTTGATTATATTAAAATGCACAATATTACATAAAAACATTTTCATATATAAATCGAAAAATTTTCCTTATGGAAAATTAATTCAAATTAATTCGATAAATATGAAAATGTGATATTTCATTTAAAATCATTTCGATGAAAGAAAACAAAAAATATATGATCGAAAAATATTTAGGCGATACGGATGATTTTAACGAATGATGATGAAAATAATCTTAGATGACTGAAATGTTGAATTAGTAAGAAATATAACAAAATTTTCTTTCAAACATTAGGAATATATTTTCTAAGAGAATATGATAATTCACTGTTAATATGGAAATGTAATTTTCATAACGGAATTTTAAAATGTCATAAAAATTTGATAATTTAATTTTTTTTAAATCAAATTCAAATTCATAAATCATAAATAATTTAATTTTTTTTTTGTTCATAATTCTTTTCCATAAGATTTGATCATATCATGATATAGCAAGAGAGTTGATAATAGCTGAAAGATATCGAAATAATAAGATAGCAAGCGATGATAATGTCGATCTTATCCATATTAATCAGAGAAACGATATAGATAACGATTTACTAGTAAGATTTAACAAAACATTTTGATTTAAGTATCATCTCAATAATAAGCTGTAGATTTTTATTTTTGAAACGATTGATATTGTTTCGAATTATGATGATATCACGATTGATATTGTTCTAATGATGATATCATTGCATTTATTCCCAATTTAATCCTATCATTCTTCTAATTGAAATAATACACCTCTATAGTATCGTCGAATTGAAATAGTACCTGAATATTATATTCAGGAATGATAGAATTATATTCAGGAATGATAGAAAAATATTATATTCAGGAATGATAAAATTATCAATTAAAATAGTACCTGTATAATAAATATAATGTATATTAAATAAATTCTGTTTTCAAATTTCAGATTGCTTGTCGTTTCAGTAAGCCTTATTATATCATAACCAAATGAATCATTAACGTTCCCGTCTTCAATTTCTCATTAACTCCATCACTGTTAATTACGCTTCATTTAAATTCCAATTTCTGCAATAAATTTTCATACATAATTACAAACGTTAAATTTGTATCGTTAAATTGTCTTTTTAAAAAAAGAAATGGAAAGAGCTAAATCATTTAAACTTTTTAAAATTTAATTTCTTCTAATTGAAATAATACACCTCTATGGTATCATCTAATTGAAATAGCACCTGAATATAATTAAAATAGTACCTGTGTAATAAATATATTGTATAATATATTGTGCATTGTAAATTGTTTATAAACAATTTAATATAATAATTTCAGAAATTATACCAACAAATATTTGTGAAATTTTTTAAAATTTATTATGAAAATACAATGTGATATGGAATATAGTTTATCACACAATAATTAATTATGCAAATTAGAAATTTTTAATTCTTATTTTATGCAACAATGAAAAAATTTTCCAAAGCATATCTTATCAATAATGATGATTTATTATAATGAATTTCCTAATTTACATGATATAACTTAATAATGATATAACTTAATTTACATGATATAACTTAATCTTACATGATATAACTTAATTATAACTTGATAATTAATTATAACTTAATAATTAATTTATCATTATTTTAATTCACATTTCATTTCCTTCACAGGTAAAATTAAGTAAATGTTAATTGTTGTTTCTTTTATTGAACAAAAAAAAACATACCATACCTTATTTCTCCATTATTTTATTCAATAGGATTAACTTGTTTCTTGCTATTTTCGCTATCATCATCATCATCGTAATGATCGTTATTAGTTTCCGATATTTCACCTGGTATTATCTATTGCATATGACTTATGATGACCTCTTGAAATGCTATCGAATATTCTAAAAATTATCAAAAATATTACGATGCTTTCATCCACTATGAATTCTCTATATAGTCGTTAACTTAACTTTCGCATTCTCTCTACAAAATTCTTTTATTAATAATTTATCTGATAATTTTCCAACACATATCTCTTCCATTATCAGCAAGCTATTATCAATAATCTCAATTTTATCCGATTTTTCTATCGATGATTATTGATTAATTCAGAAGTATTTTGAATCAATCAATAATCATCGATATAAAAAATAGGACAAAATTGAGCATATCGATGATTATCGATTAATTCAAATTCATCAATCTAACATTAGATTACAACTACCGACGCTGTTGAAAGTGATTACATTATCCGGTAAAAAAAAAAACGACATCCGGAAATTATTATTACTGCCGCAGATTTAAGTAAGTAAAATTCTGATGCTACTTTCCTCCGATATCGTTTTTGATTCATATTACACCATGCACATAGATATATATACTCTTGAAACAATCTCTTACCCTTTTTTCTCACCTATAAAATTCTTTTTCATTATGATGATGTATTATCACTTCTGATCAACACCCAACTTCACTTACACACAATTGTACAAACATATCAAACGAGCTGTTATCTTTATTCAATGAAACAAAATGGAATAGGTTAGGATAGAATTAAAATGTTCACTGCCACACGATCGATCCATTTTAAAAACCTATTGGGAATGTTGTAAATTAGACCAAAACAAAGAAAAATACTACAAATCAAAGATTTCAACAAAAATTCCCTCTCATCACAAATTAATCCATTCATCATTTTTTTCTCCAACATTCACAAGTATCAACTATACTACTACTATTTTCGTACGTGATGTAGCACATGAATCTTCCCACCTACACACGTAAAACAGCGGGTGAACTTTCTTCATAAATATCTTTCTTCATTCATAAATATGTTTATTAAGATGATAATCGTACTTCATTTTGATGTCATCTCTTCTTGCTTCTTACATAATTTATATGTATGTTATATATATATTCTGTACATAACAATGTAGCGTACTTTCAAAATTTATGTTTCACATAATAAAGAAGAGCAAAGGTAAATTCAACAGTTTTAAAAGTTTTTGAAAGAAGATTAAAAAAAACTCCGCAAATAGGAGAAATTCGAAACACCGTATTGAACACAACAAAAATAAATTCACAATTGTGAAATCATCATTATCATCATCACCACCATCATCATCATCATTATTATCATCAACATCATCAACATCATTACAACAAATTCACAACTTTTCCTTTCCACATCCGAAATATGAATTTACTAAATGAAAAAGAAGGAAACATCAAACAACAAATAGAAGAAAATAATTTCTGTATTTTGTTATCATGTTCTTTACTTTTTCATGATGAAAATTCTCTCTCATCGTTGTTGTATTTGCTCCATTTCTTTCCTCCCCTCTCTTTTACAACCTTTGTGCAATTCATTACATTCGCATGAAATTTCTTATTGAAAATTTTCAAATATTTAAACATCCGTTTTTTTTGTTGTTGTTGTTGTTGTTGTTGTTAAAAGTGACAATGACAATTTTCTACATATATCAGACAATATAATGGCATGATATCTATACCAATAATCTCCTTTTCCTTAATTCTTAAGCTACTGAAGACGAGAAAACTCTTTAAATCATTTTATAACACAACCAGATCAAAATATTAAAAAATTAAAAACTTAACCTACTTATTATTTTATCCAATGAGATAATCTACCTACGCAACGGTAATTTAAAACGTTCATATCCCAACATATCCATTATTCAATGTATATGAAAATTTTGCCAGATTTTTTTAAAATTTAATTCCTCTCCCTCTCCACTCGCTACTAATCCCTAATATTCCACCCCCATCACTATGCAATTTTGGATGTGAATGCAAATTGAATGGATTAATAAAAACAGAAAACGAAAAAGAATAAGCAAAAACCCGAAACCTGCATGAAACGGCTAAATTCTATGTACAGTGATCGCTGCCGTTTGCGCACCATTTTTTTTTTTCAAGCATTTAATGCAAAGCATTTAACGAAGCAAAAATAAGACGGAAAAAAGAAAAAGAAAATTATGAGAAACAAAAGAAGAAGTCATTATTCAAAAAGTAAAACAGGATGCAAAACATATCTGTAAAATATAATATGAAACCGTTTTTCGATATTAAAGATCAATTCGGTAAGACATCAAAATACAACTAAGGTAGACACAATAAAAAATGTTGTGCATTTTATAATGTTAAAAAAATACACTATCATCAATCATCATCATCATCATCATTCTCACTTACTTTCATCGCATAGCACTTCCTGTTTAATTTTATTTTATATACATTTTAATTTTTTAAAGTTTAATTTTATATACACAATCTAACATGAAGAGTAATTAGTAGTGATGAATGCGTACAATTACAAATATCTTTCATAGTGGAAAAAAAAAACAATTCGAATTAACAGGGCCAAAATCCAATAATGCAATTCAAATTTAAAAACTTAGAGTGATCGGGGAAATTGAAATTGAGAAATACTTATTCTCATGATTACACGATGACAAAAGTAACCAAGCATATCTATGTTCACAATTTTTTAATACTTAAAAATGCTAATGATTCGTGGCCATTATATCCTCATTAAATGATGTATGGTTAAAATAATAACAAACTGAAGCAGAAAACATAATTCCATCTGTCTATCGTTGACATGCAGCCATACCGGCTAAAACAGCGACAGCGATGCTTTCTTTCTCAGATAAATCTTTTCGCTCCTCCATCAATGAATCGATCATAAGATCTTCATCGAACAGAAACTGTTGCTGCTGCAGCTGTTGCTGTTTTTCATCATTGTACAACGATGAACTGGATGATGCTGGAGGTGAGGGTGGCTGTGGTTCAGGATGAAGTCGTGGACTCAATTCGGTAAACTCTAATAGTGAAGACGTTAATTCAGCACCTGATGGAAGTAATGGTGACGGACAGGTCGTTGTTTGTTTTGTGGCAGAAATTTGAGGAGGAACAGACGGTGGAGGAGACAACCACTGTGAATGCAGCTGAGTTTGTTGCTGATGTTGCTGCTGTTGTTGGGATAATAGTGAAGTATGAGCAGCAGCTGCAGCTGCTGCGACCGTTTTGAATTGTTGGTGCAGATTTGCAGCTTGTTGTGCTGCTATCTGCTGCGCTAATGCAACCTGAAATGATAAAAAACATATAACATGAATTTGAAGGATTGATACAATAAGATTGCAGGTTAAATGAAACAGAACAATTATTGGTTTATTTACTGTCATCACATTTACCTGTGCTTGTGCTTGCTGTTGCACTTGTGCCTGCAAATGCTGAAAATAAGGCAACATCGCTGTGAATGACTGTGCATTACTGATCCATGGAAGTGTCGAAGATGCATTTTGTGGCTGTTGTAATCCTAATGCAGCAGCAAGAAGAAATGGATTTGCAGTTTGTGTAGCAGCTAAAGCAGCAATCGCTGCCGGAAAATTTCCGGCTGCAGCTGCTGCTGCCACAGTGCTTAACGGAGAGGGTGTATAGGCAGGTGGAGTTGGGAGTAGCTTATTATCAAGCGTTGACTGAGGTGAACGCTGATCGGGAGGTGAACATGGTGAGGTCAATGATCGGTTAACATCGGGAACCTGAACAAGGGAATAAAAATTAAGGAAATCTTCATATCGCAAAACTATCATGGCTTTATTCAGCACGAAAATCAAAACAAGCATGAATTGCAAACTATTACTATTATTAACTAATTACAAGATGACCGCCTTCACCAGAACCATCAGCTTGGTAAACATTTACTGAACTACTAGGATCCTGTTTTCGTTAATGCTATCAGATACTACAGCGACCATTCTAATTTTCATTACAGTCGAGAAAAGCAAAAAAGGGAAGAACAAAACCAGTGTAGAATAAAAATTTCGTACCTGCTGATAAGTGGTATTCAATATGTGTGCAGACGGCATATTCCGACGGCGCAATTCATCTTTCAACGTTTCAACATCTGTCTTACACAAATCAGAATGTGCCGCATGTACCACCATTTCTTTTTTTTGTTCGACTTCGACAGAACCTAAAATATATAGAAAACGAAATATCATTGCTATATTTCATAAATCTTCAAAATGAATTTAAATTCCACATTAATCATCAAACAACAACATTCATAATCATATTGTATTTATATATTTAAAAATGTTCGGCTAAGAGAACTCTGATCATGATAGATAAATCATAGGCTTGAATATACCAATTCATATCTCCAAATACAACTTGGATTACTTCTATTAATTGCCAACTAGACACTTGCGTGTCACCAAATATTGATCATTGAAAATAATAAAGCGGAAATGATGTTTGCTGCGAAGTGACGATGATATGAACATCCCCCAAAAAATAATCAAAGCAAAATCAAGATGACAATAGTAATGGAAAAAATCACACAAAAATTCAGGTACAATTCTCGCTGCAATCTACTTATCCTACGAGTAATAATATCTACAATTTAAACTCTAATTCAATCCTCTGTGCAAATGTTAAACAGAACTTGGAACCTAGATATGGACCATGCTTGACGTAAGCGGTATAACTAATTTAAATGATAAATTCAAAAACATTATATCCTAAATATCGTACAATTTGTCTACTTAGCGACATTACATGGATGTGTCGTCTAAAAAACTGAAAAACTGGAGTAGAACAAGCACAAGATTTCAAAGTTCTCCCAGTAATCTATAATCAATCTCTTCTACAGAACTGAATAACCCATTAAAAAAAATAATGGTAGTCTGAAACCAGTTCTCATAAACGGTTTTAGGTGTAATGTTCATCCAAAATTCGAATTTTTCCTCAAAGCTTTCGGGCGGTTATGGTAATTACCACAATACTTGAATGAAATAGCAAGGAACAGTAAATGTATGCGCATTATTCAAAAATATGTCCCTATCACTATTATTCCTCTCCTTTTACTTTGATGTACATTTCCTTTTCTCACCACCCTTTTTTCTTACTTTTTCGTTTTGTTTTTGAAAATGTTCCTTTTTCGAATCAGATCCTAACCTTACTGCTAGCAAATCCAAAAACCGTAGTTACTATTTCCATTTCTACTTTTCAAAAAATCTCATGCTACTCAATAAATGAGCTAAATTCAGTTTCCTCTATTTGCCTTACATGAATCTCTTCCACAATTTCTTAATTCTTCCTAGACTAGTTTTCTGATTCAGGAACTAAAGTAAGCTTTTATTTTACGAAAGCTATTATTCTACTTTAAGGATACATAGTAAGCTCAACATACATCCCTTCTACATCTTTCGCATAAAATTTCGTAGCGGTATAAAAAGGAAATATTTCAAAATGGGAAAATCCCTTCTGTAATCTTTTTCAGAAATTTCAAGGCCACATAAAAATAATTTCAAGAAAGGAAGTTGAACAATTTCCTGTAATTACTAACTCTTACAAATCTTTCTCCTCCTAATACACAAAGAAGATACATCAAGTGTACTCCAATTTTTTATAAAATATCTCAAACAAAGAGAAATTTGAGTGATAAATAGAGTTAGCTACCTAAATCACAGGTTTTATTAAATTACTAAAACAATCAACATTAGATTCATTATCTTTCGTTGGTTCATCTATTATCAATGAATTACGTTACATGACAAGCAAAGATGCAGACGAAGCAACTGACAATTTGTATTAATAAAATGGACACCTGCTGCCAAGGAATTATCTAGAAGGATCACATATCATGTCTATTAACAATACACATCCTTTCCATCAATAATCCCAAGGTTCCTAGAAACTTTTTAAATTATACATTTCATAAGATGTTACAAGAGAATACTGGATAGAGTAGCTTTATCTAGCAAAGGCATTTCTAGCAATATAAAAATACATACACATCAATTTAGAATACAGTAAGCTTAGCATATCCTTTTAATGCTCCCAAAGTTTCTGAATTAACTAAAAGAAAAAACAGAACCACGAAGCTAAGCTTTTCAGCATCCACATTTCTTCCAATATGGAACAAAAGAAACAATTCAAATTGCCAAAGACTAGAAGATTATCAAGATCATCTTAATCAGTCTTTACATGCTTCACTGATAAGATCAATTGAAGCCTTCGTTCTCTAGCAATAATTACTGTTGAAATTAACAATCTATATCAAGTAAAGCTACTTTACCCATCACGATCAAAGATCAACGATTTTCATCCGCTTTCTGTTCGAAAAAATTCAACACAATAATTTTGAATCACCGCGATATCGTCTAATAATTCCAATGATATGTCAATAATATAAAGCCATTTCGCCAGCATTCACAAACACAAATTGAAAAAAAAATCAATTAACATCCTATTCGCTCAAGTTTCACGTCTCTTTCCTGCAAACCTAAAAACACAAACTACATGTCATCAACTTGCTCATCTTTTCTCTCTTTCCCAGCTGACGCACAGTTCCACGAAAAATTGAACAAGCAAACATCCTCCAGTAAGTCTTTTCGTCTTTCTTATTCCTTTCTTCATCTTTTATCCAGAAATTTTTATGAAAAACCAAAAATAAATGAGCGATAATCTAATCACTCTCGTCAAAAAAACGCACAAACTCATTCATCTAAAATGGAATACATCACAAATACAAAATGAAAAACGAGTTAGAGAAAAGAGATGGTAAAATAATCGATTGAACTATTTCAAATTAAATTTATCATATAATTTAATTTTATAAAAAATTAATATAATTAAGTTTTATAATGTAAAATGAATTCAATCCAACTGAATAATTGTACGCACGATCCATACAGTCTTTAAAAAAATCAACACATAATGTGGTGCTTTTTTCCATTATTAGATCGACTATCATGACAATATCAAAATTCTTACTGAGATACGATATCCATTTAATCAAAATCTCTTTACAATCTTTCCATCCTATTCACTTCCTTTGGAAATATGTCTCTTATCTCAACTATTTCCCCACAGATTACACTAGATAAATAATCAAATAAATGCATTTCACTCTGTTTAGTAAATTGTGCAAAGGAATCATAATAAGAATTCTAAATATATATATATAGTAGTCATTAGTTTAAAATATAAATATTCCCAATACCTGCTTTCATTCAAACATTTTCAATTTTTCATGAAGTGCAATACTTGCGAAATTTCCGTTTTAACAACAAAGGAAAAGCTCATAAAGAAGGAGGAAACAAAGAGAAAGGAAGCAGCGATGGAAAACCTATCCCTGGCTCAAAGATGAAAATCCAGATTGTCAAAAGTATTCTAAAAACAATTTCTATTATTTATGTCACAGCTGCCAACTACAAAACAAATATTCATAGGTTTAACCAAATAACAACAAATTAGCATAATATACAAAACTGTTGTCTGGCTATCATCCATTCTCAAGAGTATCATATATATTTTCTCAGTAATTCAGATGGAATTTAATAAACACTAATAGAAAACGTGAAGGAAAAATTCATACAGCACTCATACGGCAGCATTCACACACAATACGAACATCCATAAAATTTCTACAAAGATGAAAACAAAGTTCTTGGCATTTTCAATCAATACAGTGATAGCAGTATTTACAAAAGGCTAATAAACGACATCGGGAAAGTGAAAACGGCTTCTTTTTTCAACTTTTTTTACTTATAATGACTCTCTATTTATCCATTATTTTCCACGAAGACAGTAATTCGAGCAAGAAAGGTATGTTCAAAAAATCAAGCGGCAATTTAGATCTCGTTTGTGAAAAAACTATTAAAGTTTTTACTAATAACACCTACAATCAGATCAATTGGATTCACAAAAGACTTCCTCCTTCACTCAGCATTAGTAATTAACGGTAAGAATCAAAAATTTCTGCCAGAAAAGAATACTACCCAAAATACCATCTTGCGACAAATTTGCTCAACAACAATGAAGTATTTTAGAAAAAACTTGATTGTGCGGTAATGTCTTCAACAAACTAGATTTTAGTTAATGAAATTAAAATATTCATACCATATTTCCCATATTACCCAAAAAAAAATCTATGTATCCTTACAATCTCGTTGAAATCATACAAAAAGTACCGCCTCAAACTTCCCTTTGAATGGAAGCTCAATGAACAAAGTCCGAAAAACATTTGCCAATGAATTTTGTGTTATCATGAAGTAACAAACATGCGTATACAAATGATTCTGAAACAAACTAATAATCTCGTAACGAAAATTCAATCCTAAATATCAAGCTTCCGGGTAAACTTAAAAACATATGTAACTTAGCTACTGCAATTGTTTCGAGACATACCGGGCATATAATTAATTGCATTAATAAAAAAAAAATCTTCCTAATTATTATTTCTAAAGGAATTGAAAATTGAATAAATACAAATAACTTAAGAGTCCATCAAATCAGGAATAAAGAAGTGAAATAAGAATATCACAATGGTCACGTAATATGCAGCATATCTTCATTGAAAAGAAATACTTGAAATGGAATTATAAGAAAGGTACTTGCGAGAATGATTATACAATTTGCAAAATGAATAGCTGATGTATTTTGTGCTGGCATAAGAAGCACATGATAATCCTAGAAACGAATTACTAATTTATACTTCAATTCGTCTTCAAAATCATTTTATTTATAGAATGGACAAAGAAAACAACAATTTAACAGCTCCAAAAACGCACTGCTGAAGGATTACACAACCTAACAGAATTATGCATTCGATCAACAAACTTCACCGACTTTTCGATCCGATTATTCTTTGGCAAAAGAAAAAATAAACGGAAAGATAAACGAATCTTTTCCCATATATATATATATATTCATTTCTAAGCAAAATTCTAGTTTTGCTACTTGCATTCTCAATTGCTATACGTCATATTTTACAATACAAAGGATTTATTTTTACAGTAAAGCTAAATTTGTTATCGAATATCTTCTAGGAAGCACTTCAACTGCAATCTATCTGTTGTCAAAGTTATTCAGATGTCATAAAACGAATACGAAAGAAATTAAAGAAACAAAAAAGAAAACAGGTATATTTTATTAAGTCTAATTGTTTGTTGCTGCTGTCAACGACCCTCTCTAACAAAATTCATTAGCAACC